CTAAAGGAAGAAAACCTCTTTGGTTTACAACTCTTGAAGATCAAGTATTAGATCACAACAGTAACAGAACACTTCATAAACAATATAATCTTCCTGATATTAATCACTATAGCTTCTCTATTGGTTTCATTCTCTAACTTCAAACATAACTACACATTAAAATCTCAAACACTTACATATAAGAATCTAATTTTAATTCAAAACTAGACTAATATACAACATCATACTCCTTGAACGCCTTTAAAACAAATGTCAAATTTTTGGTTATTAACCTATCAAATCAATAAATGTGGTATTTGTGATCACCTACAAATTAAAATTCATATGATAAATATGGGATCTTTGTTAGGAAAATCACCCTCCGACTTTTCCTATCGGACTAATTCTGAACATTTTAAACCAACATACCGCTTCTTATTTACATGAAATCATTTTTTGCCCTTATTGATTCAATAGCTTATCAAATGAGCGTTTGAATCAATAAAGGCAAAAATTATTTACATGCAAATAAGTGCCGGTATATTGATTTGAATGTGTCCGAATTAGCCCGTTCATAAGGTGTCGATGGGTGATTTTCCTAGCAAAGATCCCATATATAAATTAGTCCGTTAGAATGCATGCCTTAAAAACTTGAATCAATTTGACATATGACTATCATGCCAGGTTCTCTGCTTTGTGAATAATTCAAAATTCACAAATTTTCCACCATTAACGTCTAAATCGCCAAGTCAATATCCATTTTCGAATAATGCATTATAGATCGTCTTAAAAACCAAATATATACTGTATGAAATGTAATTCCGATGTATACGTATCACTTCACAGAAAATCATATTACGGACACCTTATTTCATAGACAATCAATTTATAGGCAAGTTTATTTTAAAAACCATTAATTCACAGATAGTTCACTTTACAGACAATTTATTTTACAGATATTAATATTTAAATCAATATAAATTTCTAATTATTTTGGGATTCAGTGATTGGATTTAGGTAATTTTAGGCTTGATAGAATCATCTTACCAAGGCGATTATTTTGGTAATTAAATTATCCAAAAAGACCACTGGATCTGGAGTTATTCTCTTTTAAAGATTGTCCATAAAATAAACCGTCTGCCAAATGAGCTGTCTATGAATTGAACTGTCTGTGAATTAATTGTCTTTAAAATAAACTTGTCCATGAATTGATTGCCTATGTAATGAAGTGTCTATGAAATGATTTTCTGTAAAGTGATACGTATCCAATTCCGATAATCAACATAGGGAGTGTCAGATATATCCGATATCATATATTAAAATTTCCAAATTTAACCAAAATGCCGGACTCGTTAAAAAAATCACTAGACATTATTAATGTTACTGAATAAACTATTATCAGTAATATAAAGCAGTTGCAAATTCTAGACAGATAAATACCGTATGTTTTTTATAAATACGATATAAATTCAAAAAATATTTTATAAACTCCAAAGAACATTTACAAAATAATATTAAACTCTAAAAAAAAGCATTCACAAAATAATCTTAAACATGAAACATCTTTTCTGGTTTATAGTTTTTATTTGCATTGTTCATGGCCTGGTGGTTCATGGATCACCTCTTCTTGAAGGTAAATTATTTAAAATAAATTATTTTTCTTATTTATATTTATTCTAATTATTTTCATATATATTTATTGGCAGTTCGATCTAGTAACTCTATAAAACGCTGTACTCCCGGTGGTAAAAAAGGAGATTGCGGTTTGATGGAAAAATGTACTTCTAATGCTGATTGCAAGCTCCCTGTAACTTGTGTAGAAAAACTGTGCAGATTTCCCCCTGCCTGAAAAAATCGGAGGGATAAATGACAGAATATTTAATACAACACCAAAAGCGCGATCATATTTTACTTATGTTTAGACTTTACACATTCTATTTGGAATTGTATTTTAATTTAAGACTGCACTTATAGATGGCTTCTCGCCTGTCTAAATAGTTATTAATTCAAACAATCTAATAATGCTTATTTATTTGTAATCTTATTAGTATCGTTATATCTACTATGTCCAAGATTTTTTTAGGTCATGCCCGATGTACAAATGTCCACATGTCCAAGAATGTCCACAGCATATTCAAGCTTCAAAAATTAATATATTAATTTTAAAAATATGATTATATATTTTTATAGTGCTGAATATTTTATTTGAAAGTTAAAATCTGTTAATAAAATTTTGAGTAATTTTAATCTGTTTATTTGTCTATAAATGTCCAAAAGTGCCCAAACTCATGTTCACAACTGTTCTGTGATGACACTGATCTTAATAATCTAAAAGAAATTATACAATATTCCTTGCGATTTTAAATAATAAAATAAGAATTATTATTATCTGTACCATTGGTTAGAAATAACCACCTTTATTAAAACTTAGGGTTAGGGGTGTGGCTTTAAAATAAATAGAGGTTTTTATATAAAATAATTTTTTTAAATAACATAATATAGATCAGGTATCAGGTCCCGTTCTTTGTTCTCATGAGGTTTTCAGGGGTTCTGAACATTTTTACTTAACTTACCCGACCCCTGTTTCATAGTGCAGTTTTTGAGATATAGCATAGTGGTTATTCTTAACCATTGGCATAAGTTAAAAATATCCATAAAATAATAGTATTAATATTATTTATAATTTATATTAATATTATTACTAGTGTGATTGGTGGTGCTTTGTGCTAACTATCTCATTCAGTAATTTCAGTTGGCTATTACTAGTGTTGTTTGGCAAAACTTAAGAGTTTTGCTACTGACGAAACGTGAAAATAGTTTCAACTTTCACCAAAAAAATTTAAAATGACAAAATGGCAAAACTGGCAAAAGGTGATGAAACTGGCAAAACTGCTAAAAGGTGATGAAACTAAAGATAGCAGAACTAATTAAAGATGATAAAATTAATAAAAGAGACAATAATAAAAAGGTAATTAAAACTCTTTTATTTAATTATCAATTGGTTTATTTCTATATTATATATTTAATATTATATATAAGTTACTCTCATTATAGTAAACCTTTGATATAGTAAAGATTAGCTTATAGTGAAGATTTTTTTTAGAACAAGAACAAAACTATTAATATTTCATTTGATATAATGAAGTTTTAATAATAAACTCTCGATACAAGATATAATGAAGATTTTTTTAAAAAATATAATATTTATAATAAATTTACTTTTAATATAATAAAGATTTATATATAAAATAATTTTAGCTAATTATATTAATTTAAATATTCTCTTTATTTAGTAAAATTTTTAAATTTATATATAAACAATTATATTAGAAATTTTTAATATAAAAATCTCTTGATTTTTATTTTAAATATAATTTTTACTATATTAAGAGTTCTTGATATAGTGAATATCTTAATATAGTGAAAAAAATTTTTTAGCCAAACAACTTTACTATAAAGAGTGTAATTTGTATTACTTCTAGTATAGACTCTTATCCAACTCTTATATTTAATTTTAACCTAACACAAATTTAATTTGATATACAATATATATATAATTATACTGCTATATATAATGTTTTTGATTAATAATCTATATTTTACTATATTTGGTTTATTATAAATCAATAGTATAACAATTATTTCTTTAAAGATTTAGGATTAGATAAAATAAAATATCAGAAAATAATTGTCAGTAATAATAATATTAATAAACTACTTATATATATATAGCATTTAATTAAAGTTTTAATAATAAAATATTAAAGAAAAAGTTTTAACAATATAATGATATATTTATTTAAATATTTAGATAGATTTATTTTATATAAATAATACTAATATATAGATTGCTAAAAAACAAGATTTTAGGCTTTAATTTTAAGGTTAAATTGATTTAATTATAAATTTAAAAGTCTGTAGCCAATTAGTCATTAGCTATGAAATAATTAAATATTCTAGAACAAATATGCTACAATTTTTCACTATACTCTTTAATTAATATATTTCTTTACAGCATATTTCAAAACAATAGAAAAATAGCAGAATTTTTTTAATATCTAATAAATCACAATTTAATAGTGATCTTAACAACACTAGACCAATCAGTTTAATTGAACATACTAAAAACTATACAATAAAATTCTTACCAACAAATTAACAACAATTTTTATTATATACTCTATATTAAATCTATACAACTATGTTGCATTTTCTGGCAACTTTATAAACAATCATCTATAAAATTACTTGTAAAAACTTCTATCTACCTATCTGCTAGTTTCACTAGTAGATATTCAACTATTTATCTATCTACCTACCATCAAGATACCCAACTATCTACCACCTGTCAGAATACCTAACTATCCACTACCTGTTAAGATACCCAACTATCTACTGCCTATCAAGATACCCAATTATCTATCTACTCATTAAGACACCAATTATCTATCTACTTATTATAACACTTAACTATTCACCTATCAAACCACCTGATCATCTATTTACCTACCAATAAAGATGTTTATTAACCTACTTACTAGAATACAAAAGAAGATAGTATAAAAAAACAAAGCAAAGAAAAAAATATCAGACAAAAAAAAATAAATAACAAAAAATAAAAAATAAATAAAATAATAAAAAAAAGAATAAATATAAAAGAAGGTGCAATACTGATTTAATTAAAATAAAGAAAATTTAGAATAATGATAATAATTTTTAAAAAAATTATTTAATTTAATAAATAAAGATTAAAACAAAAAAAATAATTTAAAGTTATTTAGAAAAGTTTGTTTAAAAAAAATATTAATTTAAAAGCAAATTTAAAAAAGTTAATTTTAAAAGAAAAAGAAAATCTCTGGTAATTTAAAAAAATTAAAATTTAAAAAAATCGTTAATTTAAAAAAACATTAATTTAAAAATGCCTGTTAAGTTAAAAAAAAAACTATTAATTTAAAAAAATAATTTAAAAATAGAGTTTTTTAAAATTACTAAAATTCTTTTAAATTAGCTTTTTTTAAAAAATTAACTTTCTTTAAATTAACTTTTAAATTAATATTTTTTTTTTAAAAATAAACTTCTTTTAAATAAACTTTTTAAAATAACTTTAATTAGTTTTTTATTTAATTTTTATTTATTAAATTAAATAATTTTTTAAAAATTATTATTGTTATTTTAAATTTTTTTATTTTTATTTAAATCAAATTTTTAAATTATTTTTTATTTACATTATTTAGTATTGTACCTTCTTTTATATTTATTCTTTCTTTTATTATTTTATTTATTATTATTTATTTTTTTTTGTCTAATATTTTTTTCTTTTGTTTTTTATGCTATCTTCTTTTGCATTCTAGTAAGTAGGTTAATAGGCATCTTTACTAGTGAGTAAATAGATAGCCAGATAGTTTGATAAATAAATAGTTGGGTATTATAATAAATAAATAGATAATTGGAATCTTGATAGGTAAATAGATAATTGGGTATCTTAACAGATAGTAGATAGTTGGGTATCTTGGCAGGTGGTAAATAGTTGGGTGTTTTGATAGGTAATAGATAGTTTAAGTGTCTTGATGGTGGGTAGACAGATAAATAGTTGAATATCTACTGGTAAAACTGGCAGATAGATAAATAGAAGTTTTTACAAGTGACTTTATAGCAGGTGAGTAGATATTTAAATATCTCTACAAAATATCTTTGCAATTAGATTCTTTATAAACAGATAGGTATTTTTGTGAATAGGCATCTTTATAATATGGATAGATATCTTTACAGATAGTAAATATATATTGAGTGCCTTAACAATCATATCATGCAATAATTGTGACAATCACTAACAAAATTATAATATAATATCAAAATTTTAATGCTAAACTTTAATCTTTGATTATCTCAGCTTCTAGTAATTAAAATCAGATAATTTTTTTTAATAGTACTATACTTTTTCTACAAAATAAAAAAAAAGTTTAAAGTCCATTACTGGTTGCCAAGATAATTAAAATATATAATAATAAATAAAATTTTATAAATTAGAATAGATTAGGCCATATAAACTTAATAAATCAGTTCTTATAATATAAAATTTTTGAAAGTGACCCAGCAGCCTAGCTTTTAATTTTATTTTTAAAAAATTTTATGTATAAAAAACATATAAAATTTTTTATAAATTTTTTAGAAAAACCCATCCAGATAATAAATATACTTAAAATTTGTTTTTAAAGTTTTGTAAAATTTGATCTGGCCGGGATATAAGAACTGATTTATTAAGTTTGTATAGCCTTATTTAAATTATCTTTGCAACTAGTAATTAGATTTTAATAATTTTTTATATTTTATAGAGAAACTATGTATCTATTAAATAAAAAAAATATTTGTTTTAGACTAATAATTATTGAAAAAATTAGTTTAAAAGATTAAACTAAAAATTTTTGTTTTTGTTAAATTTTTAGTTAACTACTAATTAAAATTGTATAAAACTTTATACAGTAAATAAAAAAACTTGTCTATAAAATGATAAAATATTTTTAAAATTGAATTAGTAGTTATTGAATTATTGTATTTAATAACAACTCTTTTTGTTAATCATCAAAACACAAAATTTTGAAAGCAAAATTAACAAAAAAACTACTAAAACACACAAGAGCTACTAGAAAACTAATTTCAAAGCCCTGAATAAAGAGAAAGAGAGCAACAAAAAATACTTAGTCTCTTAAGAAACTTGAGTAAAAAAGCAGAAGTAGCAAAGAAATAGAAGAAGTCCTGAAAAATCATCAATATTTTTTTGCACTTTGTGAACTTTTGAGAAATTAGCCTTGACTCTAAATTACAAATCTGTTTTGGTAATACAAGAATTAC